ATTCTATGATTCTATGAATCCCAGCATGGCTCCCAGCACTTCCACACATTCTCATCAAGATCACCTTCCACTTAGGCCTGAGACCACTCCCTCAGCCTTGTAAGGACCGTATTGAATCCATACAACCCTGGTCCTACAGGACAACCACCCCTCGGGAAGGGGGCTCTCAGCTGCAAGCAAAACGGATGCCGTCAGCTTTACACAGTGCTGTGTGTGGCCTTGGCAGCCCCAGGGCTGCTTGGTTCAGCATCTGACCTGCCCGTCGCACGGATCCAGCCCTGGAAGTCTCCCCCCACATGGAGCAGGGAGTCACCCTGGGGAAGCGGAGATACTCACGAGCCCGTTCGCGGGGGCAAGCTCTTGTGCACAACCCCTCTGCTCCCCTCCACGAAGGCGCTGGGCGGTTTGTGGTAGACGGAGGCCAGCGTCCCGATGTAGCAGATCAGCTCGTCCAGCAGCGTCGGCTCGATCAGATCCGTCTCCTCGGAGATGAGGGGCTTCTCCGCCAGCACCACCTCCTTGGCTGCCACGGGGTCGGTGGAGAGCAGGCGCCAGTAGATGTAGCCACGGTCCCGCAGGTCGGGGTTGTCGGAGTCCTGCGGGAAGGATGGGGCTTAGTGCTGAAGCCACTGGGCAGGGGAAGCTGCTACAGAGCAACTTGGAGCATCCTGGCCCCATCCAAGTCTCACTGCAGTATCAGAGGGGTCATGGGGATGTAAGGTGAAGCTGTTTCGGTCACACGGCTGGCGTAGGGAGGCCTCAGCGTGTCGCTGCACCAGCCTTGGCGCGGAAACAGCACAGGATGCCTCCTGTGCTACAGGAGACTGTGTCCTCGCGCTCCCCGTCTTTAACTACCGGCTTTTCCAGAATTAAGCTCCAATTATCTGCCTCCTGCCACGAGCGCTGCATTCCCAAGGCACTCCCGCTGCCTTGGGAGGGATGGCAAAGCCCAGGGGAAGCTTGCCCCTCGCCCAGGAGCTGTTACCTGAGTGGCCAGGCTCAGAACCTGCTGCACCAGCTCCTGCGTCTCCGTGGGCTTCTTCAGGAACAGCTTCACGATGGCCGTCAGCAGCTGCAGTTGGACCTGCAGGCAGACAAACCGCATTAGGGACAGACAGACAGACAGCTCACACCCATTTTGTGCAAGAAGACGTGAATTTTCCCCTTGTGTGTCGCCAGGACACAACCCCCAACGTGCCCGTCAAGGGACCGAGCGCACAGCGAGCACCCAAGCCGTGGTAACATGTGTCAGGACACCCTGCCTGGCTCCCAGCCCCACCTGCGGCCCCTTTCAGCCCCACGACCGCACCCTCAGCCTCTCAGAGGCACAGGTTGGCACAGAGGGCACTGCGTAAGACCTCAGAACCAGGTTAACACGGGCCCAACAAGGACAAAGGCCAGAGCATCCTCTGACTTCCACGAGGATAAGCAGAACCACCAGTTGATGCCCATTAAGAAGGGAAGGTGCTTGTGGCACCACCGTGGCAGCATTTCATGGGCCACATTCTACACCCAAAGCCACCGTGGGACATCGCTGCCCCGAGCACCCGCAAGGAGAACACCTTCAGCACCTGCAAACTGCTCCATCACGCCCCGACAGCACAATCGGCACAGTGTCACCGTCAACCAGCTGGTCCTGCTGGTGGCCAGACCCCCCCATCATGTGGGGGACTGTCCCCCCTGTCCCATGGCACCTGGGTGCTCTCATCATGGAAGCCCTCCAGGAAGCTCTCCAGCAGCTCATCAGCGTTGTCGATCCGCTCGGCGTACTCTCCCACGATCCAGATCATGGCAGCCCGGGCCTCGGGCTCGTCCAGGGAGTCGAGGTTCTCGCAGAGGGTAGCGATCACGCTCTCGTACCTTCCCCAGGAGAGGACACACACTCACCGAAAGCAAGAAACCCATGTCCCAGCTCTGCTCTGACTCCAAACTGCATCCCATCACCCTCCACAGCACCAGGACATCGCTGAGGGCACCAGCAAGAGCCCCTGACACCTGCCTGGGGCTGTCCCCTCTCCCCAGGGCTGTGGCACAGTGTGACACTGCCCATGCCGATCCCTCTCTGGCCCCAGAGCATGTCCCCCTGCTCACCAGCCCCATCAGTTCATCCGGTCTCTGTCCTCTCTGCAGCAGCCCTGGGTTGCTGGCTCTTTGTGCCAATTAGCCCACTGCTAATCCGGTTCATTAGCATTTATTCCCCTACTAGTAGACAAGTTCCTAACCACGCAGTGGCCCATTCATCCTGACTCAACTGGAACACTCCCCTCTCCTCCTGCCACCCCTGCTCCAGCATCAGGAGCGTGGAATTGGGAGCCAGAGACTGCTTATGCTGATGTATGACCTCAAAGTCTCCGGCAGCTCCTGCCGTTTGGGTCTCTGGACTTGGGAGTGCCATTGTGGGGCTGGGGTGTCCCCGGGGCTGGCTTTCCTGCCCCCGGCTTAACTTGAGGGGCAGCAGTGCCCAATGATCACAGCCCTGAGGAGAAGAAAACCCAGAGCCACCTTCACTGCAGGGCTCTGCCACCGACCATGGCGCCAGGAGGAAGCAGCAGCCCGGTCCTGCCCAGAGCTGGGTCTTTGTCGGGCCCCTCCCCAAGCACAGAGGGCAGCAAGAGCCCGTCTAGGGCCGGGAGCATCCGCCGCCACGCACTTGTTGGGGTACTTGCGGAAGATGTCCTTGATGACGACAATGGCCTCCTGCACCACGTAGTTGACCTTGGTCTGGATGAGGTCAAGCAGAGTGCTGACACAGCGCTCCGCTGATTGCTGCCAGAAGGACTCGGTCAGTCAGCAGCGATGCTCTTACACCCCCCGCCCTTCCCACACCCCCCACCGCTGCCTGAGCCCCTCTGCACCTCCCCCAGGCCCAACCCAGATCAGAACAGACAGCATACAAGCATGCTCTCCTCCCCTTCATGACTCCTTAAATCCAGGTCTGGTTCCTCCTCATCCCCCTTTGCACATTCCCACGTGGCAGTGGGTCTGCAGGGATCCCAAAACAGCTCCAGAGGCAAAGGGTAAGGGGGTGACATACCCTCCTTACACCCTGTGCCCCACGGAACGACGGTGGCTCAGCCCCAGGCCCACAAAGGCGCTAGCTCAGTGGGGCAGCGCTATCTCCCAGGGCGGGATGACCTCCTGCTCAGCCAACACGCGCTGGAGCGCGATGCCTTGCCCAGACACAGTGGCCAGCGGGACCCGAAGTGACCTCACCTCCACCTTGATGGCACAGCGGCCGATGGCTCGAACCGCCTTCCTTACGAAGTCCACATCCACCTCCGTGGCGTACTCCTTCAGCTCAGCCAGCACCTGCCAGAGCGGGGGGGAAGGCAGTGAGAGCCCAGCCGCCCAAAAACCCACCCAAAAAGCAGGGCAGCGACCCAGCAGGCACAGACCGCGTGGTACAGCTCCTCCTGTCCCCATCCTGCAAAGCTGGGCTCAGGATTTCTCAGGTCAATCCCCACCCCACGGGGCTGGAGCCCCCTGCGCCCCATGCCCAGTGCAGACCCTGCAGTCTGACAGCCCCAGACCTGGGCAATGTTGGCCTGGGAAGCCAGGCGGATCATGATGTCCAGCTTCTCCAGTTTGACGTAGATGGGGTCGTTGTACTTCACAAAGAACACCTTCATCTCGTGCTTCAGGATCTCAGGCCTGGAGGACAACGAGAGGCAGCGATGAAGGGAGACGCACGCTCCTGTGCCTTCACCAGAAAGAGACCTCAGAAACCTTCCAGAAACTGTGGTTTTCCCCGGAGCTTTCTGGACAGCCGATACTTGGATGATTTCTCTAGTGGCAAAAGCCAGATCCAAGCTCTGCTCCCACCTCCGGCCTCTGGCCCAGGCAGCGAGCGGCAGCAAAGCAGTGCAGAGGGCGGTGAAAGAAGCTGCACAGCACTCAGGAGAACGATGGGGTTCATTCGCCTCCCCTGCAGCCAGGTCATGCCCAGAGTCCGAGCAAGTTCATCACTCCGTTAGCCAGCTCCAGGCAGGAATCACCACTGCCTGGCTGCGGCACGAGCTGGGTTGGTGAGGGCTTGAGGACACCGAGGACATACACTGGGGAAACCTGGAGCCGGCGCAGCTCTGGGCCAGGAGGACAAGGCTCCTTGGCCACAAGCACAAGGTCTTGGGAGGCTGTTCGATGCCAAGAAATCCAAGATGCTGTGATTATCCCCCTCAGGACTCTGTCCCTTGGCTCCCCTCTGCCCAAGGGACAGAGCACAACCTTGCTGCAAACGAAGACCAGACGCAAGGCAACAGGGGATGTTTGCCCTGCCAAGGTCGGAAGGGACGTCTCAAGGGAAGCAGGGATGCAAAGCCAGACCCCAGGGCTATGCTGGACCTTTCTCACCACATCATCCTCCTTCTAAGCTGCGCCAGGTCCAGCTCCAAGGAGCCAACCTGCCTTCCACGTTCCTGCTCCCAGGGACACTAATTGCTTTCCACTCCGCCCAGAAGTCGCTGCTATTTTTAATAGACGACCACGGCGATAACTGGTGGGACAGTAAATCATCTGAGTGGGGCTGTCAGCGCGGAGTGTGGCTCTCCAGCTGGCCAGTTCTGCTCAGGGCACACGTGGCGGGCCTCAGACACCTCCTGCCCACCAGCAAAGGGACAAAAGGACGGCTGCATAGAAACAAGCTGGTCTCAAAAAAACTCCTTACCAGACATTTAACATTTAAACCAAAGCCTCAGTGTTTTGCCTTTCCAACCTCTGCTCCCCCAGACAAACAATAAGCCCTACTGGAGATGCCAGCTTAGCTCCCTGCCTGTCTCCTCTCCAGATTCTCTGCACCCCTTGGATTTTAAAATAACAGAAAAGCCCATACCAAGCCCCAACACCGCCGCAGCCAGAGGGTGTGAAGCACTGGGAAGCAGGACCCGTAGGGAAGAGGGAAAGCCCGAACCAGGCTGTCCCCGCTCCCACGCCGGGGCACCCACCTCTTCTGCACGATGAGGTTGATGTTGCGGAGCGCCACGTACTGCAGCTCGGGCTCTGCGGAGAGCAGGGTGACCAGCGGCGGGGCCAGCTTCTTGAGCAGCGTGCCGTAATAATCCAGGTCCTTCGACAGCATCTCCATGAACTTCATCAGCACCTTGACGGCCGAGAGGACCACCGCCGAGTTGGCGTGGGACAGCCGGGGTGTCACTCGCTCACAAATGCTGGAGGGGTCGGGGTGAGGGGGAAGGAAAAGGGAAAGGAAACGATCACAGCCCGTCTTCCTGCTTAAACATCGCGGCTAGGACAGACGAAGGAGAAAAAGGCACTGGCAGTTTGCAGGAGGACAGCAGAACAGCACTTCAGACCTTCCCAAGAGATGCTGAACCAGCTCTTAAATGTCCTGATGATGGTTATTTCCCAGCCTGACAAAACCCTATAGCAGTGACCCCTTCTCCGAGCTCCCCGGTGCCTCTCCTCCACTGCTGCACAGAAAGGCCACGTCTAGAAGCAGCTCGAGAAGCGCAATCCCTGTGCCGGCATGGAGACGGCATCACCACGGGGCTGGGGCCG